TCTATTTATTCATGAAAGCCTTACCGAGTCTCAAGTCCCTCTCTCAGGAAGGTCTTGCATTGGAATGTTTGGCTTATTTAATTGAAGAGTGTTTTGCAATTGGAGAAAACCCGGAGAAGATGAATTCATATGAAGGCATGAAGCTCAACGGTCTGAACAGATGGGTTCACAGCAACCCACTTGCTGTACTATAGCATCTCTTGACCACATTTCCCCTCAGCGAGTTTGGGAGTTTCACAAATCTCTCTGTGATCAACCAACTTTTTGCATCCGAACCGCTAGATTACACGCTGACACTGCCACAAAATCTTGCTAAAACACGAACTTGTGCAGGATACAATGCAATAAAGTCGGCAAAAATTCCGTTATTTATATGCACACGTGTACATCAGGGTTCCCATCTACATTCATAATATATATTTTCTAAAACTAAACCTGAGCGTGTACAACTTGGATATTCAAAGTTTGGCAATTAGGAATGCAATTATAAGCCAAGCTCACGGTAACCTTAAATGACATGAATTGATGTTGAAATAGCTAAAGTTGCAAAATGCATTTTTTTATTATTTACTCATTAAACGAGTTTCCCTCAAGGGAGTATAGGAAGACAAAAAAAACTCACTTTGGAAATTATTTTCTCAAAGTTTTCAGTTGAAGAATCCAATAAAGAAATTTGGGATTTTTCTTCTCTTTGATGTAAAGTGTAGGGTCGGGTCCAACCTTGCAATATTTAATATCCAAAATTAAGGGAGCTGTGCCCATGTACACGTTTGCATTCATTTAGCTGCTAATCCTGGAAGATAATGAGCTTAGTGCTTAACAAAAAACTCATTTTGCAACTTTTCACAAAATATATGAATTTATATGCAAATGAAAAAAAATATGCAAATAGGAAGAAAAAAAAATATTTAGCTCAAGTTCACATTGTTACACTTAAAGTAGTGTTAATATATGGCCATCGTTACACCGTGACATCTTAAAATTCTGGGTTGTCAAGCTCACTGCAGTTGAATAGTTCTGAATTGCATGAAAAAATACTACTTGAATCCATTTTCCTGATACAACTTTGAGAAAAAAACACCTATAGTTTCAAGCAGATGTCGAAATACCGTGGTCTGCTACAGTACTGTGTGTCCCTTTTCATTCCTGGTCGGGGGAAAAAAGGAAAATTTTGACTTAAAGCTTTCGTGACTGCAGGAATAAATATTCTTTGGGTCTTTCGGTAAAGCTACGTAGATAGAAAACAAATAACAAAAATCTAAATCATGACGTAGGAGCTAAGCTTAAAGCTAAGCTAAGTCAAGATTGAACCGCCTCTACGGGGAGGGTTTCCACACAACTATTAGATCTTTCAACAAACTTCGAGACAAGAAGGCTCACCTGATCGAGTCGCCCACTATTCTGAAGAGATGCCGCAACACTAAGGTAATACCGATGGCCTTTACACTCACATCTGCTGCTGTCACTTCTCAAAATTCCGGGCCCTAGCCGAGCTTGGCCCTGGCCGAGCTCGGCTAGGGCCAAGCAAATTTCTCTCTCCTACTCGCTCTCTCCTACTCACTAATATTAGCTGCCCTGCCCAACTCTAAACCTTTATAAACAGCCTGCCTCAGCAGATTTCCCTCCTTTTTCACCTGAAGACGATTGCTTGTGTTGTGATCGAAACGTCGTGATTTAGATTTTTGTAATTTTTTTCTATCTACGTGGCTTTACCGAAAGACCCAAAGAATATGAAGAGGAAAAAAAGGTAATTACACAAATAAAAATGCAAGTCTGTGTACCCTTTAGGTGAGAGTGCAAACAAGGCGAGCGTGGCTGTTGATGAGCAGTCGAATGAAGAGTTGAGTTTCACCTCGTCACAACCGGTTTGGTCAAGGCCGGTGTAATGCTGCAATACGACCGTTTGGCTCTTGTCGATTACTCTCCAGTACCAAGCACAGTTAAGGGCAACACCTGTGACTTGTGACAATAGCATAGGAGACCACAACATCAGCATGTTTATGGAGTGTTTATGTACCTGTGTAATGACAGTAGAGTCAACCTACGGTGTTAGTGGACGAGTGGTCATGGGAGGTAATGACAGGGGAGTCAGCCTGCAGTGCGAAGGGACTGGTGGCTATGGGAGGCAATGACAGGGGAGTCAGCCTGCAGTGCGAAGGGACTGGTGGCCACGGGAGGTAATGACAGGGGAGTCAGCCTGCAGTGCGAAGGGACTGGTGGCCACGTGAGGTAATGACAGGGGAGTCAGCCTGCAGTGCGAAGGGACTGGTGGCTACGGGAGGTAATGACAGGGGAATCAGCCTGCAGTGCGAAGGGACTGGTGGCCACAGGAGGTAATGACAGGGGAGTCAGCCTGCAGTGCGAAGGGATTGGTGGCTACGGGAGGTAATGACAGGGGAGTCAGCCTGCAGTGCGAGTGGACTGGTGGCCACAGGAGGTAATGACAGGGGAGTCAGCCTGCAGTGCGAGTGGACTGGTGGCTACGGGAGGTAATGACAGGGGAGTCAGCCTGCAGTGCGAAGGGACTGGTGGCCACGTGAGGTAATGACAGGGGAGTCAGCCTGCAGTGCGAAGGGACTGGTGGCTACGGGAGGTAATGACAGGGGAATCAGCCTGCAGTGCGAAGGGACTGGTGGCCACAGGAGGTAATGACAGGGGAGTCAGCCTGCAGTGCGAAGGGACTGGTGGCTACGGGAGGTAATGACAGGGGAGTCAGCCTGCAGTGCGAGTGGACTGGTGGCCACAGGAGGTAATGACAGGGGAGTCAGCCTGCAGTGCGAGTGGACTGGTGGCTACGGGAGGTAATGACAGGGGAGTCAGCCTGCAGTGCGAAGGGACTGGTGGCTACGGGAGGCAATGACAGGGGAGTCAGCCTGCAGTGCGAAGGGACTGGTGGCTACGGGAGGCAATGACAGGGGAGTCAGCCTGCAGTGCGAAGGGACTGGTGGCTATGGGAGGTAATGACAGAGAAGTCAGCCTGCAGTGCGAAGGGACTGGTGGCTACGGGAGGTAATGACAGGGGAGTCAGCCTGCAGTGCGAAGGGACTGGTGGCTACGGGAGGTAATGACAGGGGAGTCAGCCTGCAGTGCGAGTGGACTAGTGGCTACGGGAGGTAATGACAGGGGAGTCAGCCTGCAGTGCAAAGGGACTGGTGGCTACGGGAATGATCGAGAATAGGAGCGTGGCCAGGTGACGGACGAGGACGGTGGAGTCTGCTGGTGGAGCGAGCATCTAGAACCAGCGAGAAGGTTCGGGAATGGGGGCGTGGCCTCGGACCGTATATAAGGGAGATGCGCGGGAGACTCGGGGCTGTTGCAGTGGGGGTCTCTGCCTGTCCGAGTGTCAGCACGTGGCTCCTTAATAAATGAAAACCTTCCCAGGACGAGTGCGTCGAATTCGTCATTACACTTGTATATGTGAAATTAGTGCGTAGACCATATTGTCAACCACTGTAGTAGCCTGTGCTTCTTGAACACAGGAGGGACAGCAACATTGCATGCGCTACATCTGCATCCTCCTGATGGGCCGTTGGCAGTTGACTCGTGAACACGTTGCTGCCATACGCGAGTACAGAAGCGTTCTTACGCGGTCACTCGGCGGATTGTCACATCGTGGGGTCGTGAGGGGTGGTTGCGTCTCTGTGGAAGTCCTTCATCCAGCAGAGGATTTACTGGCTGCTGAAGGGGATGATGGTGAAGATAATGCACCATATTTATATCTGCATAAACAAAAACTGCCATGACGACTTTCAATCGACTAGAATAAAAGTGAAAAGGCCCGACTTACTACCTGCAGGTGTGCTGTCGTCAAATAATAATAATAATAATGTAAATTCATAAATAGGATTAATATTAATAATGTAATCGATTTACCAAGGGGAATCTTGAGTCTCAGTACTGTTTTTGAGGGAGTACCCTGCAGTACTCGGGGTGAACACATTTCTATGATGGGCTGCATAAACATGAGTAATAACGCTCATAGTGGCGATGTAGCCTTTCACATTGTGGTGTATAGCTTTACAGTGTGCGTTCAGGTTGTTAAGGAAGCTTCTGCAGAAGAAGCTCCAAGCACACGTAGTGAAACGTCGGACATCATGGCGAACAACTCGTGGAGCAAGCCTAATATACATTCGAGAGCTCACAACCCAGAATTAAATTATCCAGCTTAGACGTTAAATTGTCCAGCTTAAGACATTAAATTGCCTAGCTTACACATTACCAACTGAAATGTGCCATTGTATTCTCATGAAATACATTACTACATCGCTGTACTTCATGGTAAAAAAAGAAACCTTGTAACATTGCAAATAACTATTCTTGGTTCTTTCGGTAAAGTCGTGTAGAAGGGAAACAATAAAATTATAAAAATATAAAGCAATAAAATTCTCACGACGTTTCGACTGCAACACAAGCAATCATCATCAGGTGTGAAAACCACAGCAAGAAAATTTGAAAAAAGTGGCGGTTTTTTTTAACGTTAGCACCACGGAGAGCGATTTGGCAGTTATTCAGATGGACGAGTCCATCTATGTTCGGAAAAGAGGAGGGGGGAGACGAAAAGTAATGGATGCGGTCTGAAAGCCACCTTAAGCGTGATCAATCAAATTTTTTTCTTTTCCGAACATAGATGGACTCATCCATCTGAACAAACTGTCAAATCGCTATCCGTGCTGCTAACGTTAAAAAAACCGCCACTTTTTAAAATTTTCTTGTTGTGGTTTTCACACCTGATGATGATTGCTTGTGTTACAGTCGAAACGTCGTGAGAATTTTGTTTTATATTTTTATTATTTATTGTTTCCCTTATACGTGACTTTACCGAAAGAACCAAGAATATGAATCCCTGCAGTCACGAAAGCTTTACATCAAAATTGCAAATAATTGTCAAGTTTACCCCCCCCCCCCCCCCCACACGTACAAAAGGTATACAGTATTCTGACACGTTGCATTGATTTCCTTATTCATCTGTAAATGGAGAAATTAGACATCTCAAAAGATCGATCATTGCAAAATGGTGATGGTTTTATTGATAGAAAGGTATTTTCACAGAAACAATGATTTCCAAATTGATAGCAGGCCCGGGGCAAAATGTTGCGAGTCATGGGAGCCAATGAACAACAAAAATCGTCACCACGTATGCCATCTCCCCTTTTACGCGACCCTCTCCTCCCACTGAAACCTCCGCCTTTGAAACAACCAACAATTATCCATACCACCTGCCACGTTGTTCCCAACCCACACTCATTCATCGGCAGCAGCAGCAGCAGCTGCAAAAAAAAGCGCGGATGCTTAAGCAGTGGGCCGCTTTGTACAGAAATTCTATCAAAAAAGTGAGGCCTTCCAAGGTCATCCGAGTGGATTCATCACGACACTGTCGGTTCGAATTGTGAACAGTTGTGTTTTGTAATTTGCAAAACCGATTTTTAAAGTTGAAAAAAAAAATACCTATAGTGGTTGGGTAATCTTAGTGTCTGTGAATTGAAATGGCACACAAGCATTTAAAATATAATCCCTTCGACAATAATAGAACATTAAAAAAAAATTATGCTTTTTAGACTGCATATCCACAGCGAAATAGTTTTCACCTTTTGTGTGGCTATGAAATGTTTGAAAATAAAGTTGACAAGGTGCAAGCTTCTATTCCTCTTTTCTATTACTAAACTCAGAACAATTATTGAAATTTAATAAGAACAAAGGTAGGCAACAAAGATGATTATGCACAGTATGTCCCCTCTACTGGGTGTGTGTCCTAGCTGATTTCACTTCTAAAATACATATTCTTTTCACTATAAAATGTCTGCTTATTCACATATGCTCACATATACTCATAGCAAGACATGGGCATAGCAATATTACAAGGCAAATGCAGTTGTAACTAAACCGTTGGCTATTGAGCTTCCACGTACCACTGTGGTTAAGTGCTTTCCCTGTCACTGCCCCAGACAGACCCATGACCTCAACACACAGGGCCTTCTTTTTTTTTACTTTGAAAAGCAATCCTCACCGAGCGATATAGTGTCGACAGGAATTGTCTCAGTTTTTTTCTCTTTCTGAAAGCCGACAACAGAACAGTCGAAAGAATATTGTGGGTTTGACAAACACACGGCCTAAAACATGTTTGTGAAACACTGTGACCCCACATCTTTGAACTTTTGACCAAAAAAGGCAATTGTGAGGTATTGTGGTCGCAGCCCATTTTCAAAAATGTCATCATGATTGGTCAAGGGTTCAAGTGTTACCGTGGGCACAGAGTGACAGACAGCAGCACTGACAGCCACAGAGAATCATATTCTTGGTTCTTTCGGTAAAGTCACGTAGAAGGGAATAATACTATTTTTATTATTTTATTGTTTCCCTTCTACGTGCCTTTACCAAAAGAACCAAGAATATGAATCCCTGCAGTCACGAAAGCTTTAAATCAAAATTTAGCCACAGAGAAATTATTACTTTAAAATGCTCCGGAAAGGACAGAAACTCAAGCGTGAATTTCAGGGAATTCTTTTTAAAAATATAAATCACGGACCATGATTCTTTAAAAGTGTTTTTCAATTGATTGAGAACACTGATGAATATTATCAGCAATCGGTCTGCAAAGTCACAATGCTACAATTATGCAGTGCATTTTTATTTTATTTAGCCTCTTTAGTTGCGTCTTTTGTGTCATATGACCTATTATCTGGTTAGGAAACAACGCATATTCCTCAAATTAATAACATGTTAAGAATAAGGAACAAAATATTAGTGTTTCAATACTCTCACACACGCACCGTAAATGGTTCATTGGTAACATATTACATTTATACTTGATCATCCAAAGAATAAACCGTAACTCATAATTACATTCACTGCATGGGTTGCAATCATAGGGACCTCAATTTTATTGTTTGAATTCAGAATGCAGCATCTTTCCTCTGTATTTATGCCTAATGATATCGTCCCATAAAATGTGTGTTGCTTTTGGATTTTAATCATCTCGTACTCTACCCAACCCTAGGAATCAAAATGTGAATTACGTCCCCGCTTATTAATTTTCCCTCCGATAATGCGAAAGCGTCATTTGTCATTGTCCGTCGTGAGCATCACTGCCACCTCCAGTGCTGAATGCCCAGTATTATCCTCGTAGCCTGGCGCTTTACTTTATCTCACGCATCAGCACTTCTTATTAAACAAGGACCCAGAGCTGCCTTTCCTGATTTATTATAATTCTTGCTGGATCATTGCATGATGCCATTACCGCCCATCAATCTTCACAATCGTATTCAATCTCTGCACAAGTGTACGGTACTTAGGATTTCATTTGTTTTGTCAAAAGTGTATGTACGCCGCATAAGCACGCATGTCATTCGCTTCTGCACCACATTAAATTTTCAATCTAAAATGTGTTTTTTTTTTTTAACACTCTACCATAATGCACTACTATATTCTTTAAATGCTACACAGCATTTGTTAATTCAAACTCCCACTCATTGGTCATTACTTACAAATGTATATGAAAAAAGCTTTGGTGACTTAAACAGCATCATCTACGAAACATGAAACACCAAGCGCGTATACAAATGTCAATGCATGTTAAAATGAGAAACGAATGTCTAGTTATGAAATGGGTGTTTTCATTAAACTTTTTTTTTTGATCGATGGCAGTATGATCAACGGACTGGGTAACGCGTCTAAAGTGTGTTAATTAGCGTCATCAAAGGGTGGCTTTTAACATTGGCGTTGCCACGGGAGGCACTGCGTAAATTCGCAACGTCACCGCATTCGCAGTCACAACCCTAATTGATACTGGCGTGAACACTTTTGCTCGCAAGTTTTGCACTGTGAGGTTATTCTGTTCGCTAAAATGCACGCAACCCTCGTGGAATAATTTAAACCCTTGTAGAATAATTTAAACCCTTGTTGAACACTCTATTGGTGCGTTGATTTGTGCTTTATTTCATTACATTTGTAAAAACAATTACTAGCGGGAAATAAGTTGTCAACGTCCTCCTCAATTAAGTTTGAAAGAAAATTATAGTACGTAGTTACCCAGACGCGAACAACGTACAACGGCCGAATTCCACGTGACACGACGGATGGTTTATGTCACTTTTGGGCAACCTGGCCTGTTAATGTCATTGTTGTCTTTCACGAAATCCAACACATTCTCAAATCCGTGATCGTGCAAGAATCACCTAAATTGACATTTTCTGTGCGAACGTTTTGGTGGCCGGCTCCAAAGATGCCTTACAGCATCAGCAGCAGCGGCTTTTGTCTCGCAAATCGAACAAAGACGGACACTTCATCGCGGCGCTTTCAGGTGCGCTTCTGCGGCCGTCTGGAACGCTCTTCCTTCCGATACTATGAGGCCACTGGAAGCCATGCCCTTCTAAATCTAGATTGAAAACGAATTCCTTTAAAACTGCTTTCTGTGTTTAGCTTGTCGTCCTTCCCCCCGCACCTCCGATTAGCACGGTTGGCTATGCACGGTGCGAAATAAGTTCAACGTACATACAAGTTCAACATACATGCATGCCTCAAGCTAAAGCCACCACATACTGAACATCCTACGGTATACCTCTGAGACCTCTGTGTGAACTTGGCTCCAGGCAGAACTCATTGCACTTTAATGGCTGCTGATGTTACCGCAGCCTTCTGTCTATACAGCACACGCTATCCAAGTAGGTTTTAACAATTTAAAAGATCTGCACTCTCCTTGATGTATTAACATTTAATTTGAAGCACCAACACACAAAATGCTACAAAGGTATGTTTTTTTTCCTCACCAATCGGCACAAGAATGACCTAAAGCATCTTGTAAAGTCTTAAAATTATTCAATGCACACAAAAAACTTACACAGAGCAAAATATACTTTATAAAAACATACTGTACATTGTGAATTATATCAACAGCTACCTATGGCAATTCAAATATCACTTCTTTTGCCAACCATACCGTTAAAACAGAAAATAAACAAAACGATGTGTTTCACGTTTCAATCCGATCATTAAACACTATTTTCCACGGGTGTTAAAAGTTAATCTGGACGTACATTTATACGCAAGCAAAAACAAAAGTGTTACCAAAGCGGGAGGGCAAAATCAGTAACTTTATAGTACATGGTTTATCTATAACATATTCTGTACAAAGGCCGCTTGTGAGCTTTCCATTCCTTTCAAGAAAATTCCAATGAGCTCAAAACAACAAACACTGTCGGTAAAATAATCTGGTTAATTTTAAATGGCAGCTTCATATGCTGTGGGATGACGCACACGTACACTTCACGCACGCGTGCACGCACGCACGCACACACATACACACAAGAGAAAGAGAAAATATCATAAAAAGAGACAGCTTTATAGCAGGTTTCTGCAACATCTCACAATTCATTTTCTTCAAGAGCAGTCATAAAAATGTACAGTTTAATAAAGACTTTTATAGACATTCTTGGCACATGGAGAAGTCAGTGGTGTCTGTTAGAAATGTATTTTGAGTACAGCAAAGCAAATCTGAATTTCAATGAATTCCTATGGTTGCAAAGTGATTGGGAATCGAGTATGTCATCTCCACTATTCTCTATCTTCTTGTTTGCCAGGCTACTGTGTTCAGTGGCTCACAGACTTACGACATTTTAATTTCTCAATATAGACGTTTACAAGTTACTTTTAAAATAAATGTTTCTTTTGTGATATTGTGAAATTTAACTCCTCATTGGTTCGTTACATTTTGTGTGAGTTTAAAAAAAATGTTTGTTTTTTCCTGCTGGGCGGAGTGATCTATTGTCCTTGAAAAGTGACCTCCATTATACAGTCTGTGCCCAAAGTGCTTCACGTGAACACGTGTGTACGAGTGCAGCCCTGCAGCTTTGCAGTCCTTAAAGCAAGGTTGATGGAATCTCAAAACACACCTTGAATAACACTGCAATATGCAGGCACAGATCCATGCAATGACCTCTTGCAATTGACATTTGTTGTGTGAGTCAAATGTTCTTCTGTGTAAAGAATGGACGGGGCCTTTCGGCGGTTATTAAATTAAGCTTTTCAAACACTCTAAATGTTGACCCTAGAACACTGGTATGCTGGTGTGTCACATCAATACAGATGCTGTGAGCTTCAGAATGCCAAGTGATCCTTTGCGGTGCTTGCCGCCGTCTCCCACCAACGCCGCTGCTCTTCGTGACGTATCCACGGGTACCTTTGGTAAGGTCTGCTACCGTCGCCGTTTGGCAACTTTGTCCAACAATTTAACTTTTAAAGAGGATCTTGAAGGAACGTAAAACAAAATAATGCTAAAATAAGTGTCCGAGAAAGTTAGCATTTTTTGTCAACATTTTTCACAAAGCATCTTTGAACATCTTGAATAGTGAATATTCAATCAGCTACCTTCTAGAGCATTAACACTTCAAAGTAGTCTGCCAGCGAACGATGTGTTTTATGAGCAGAACGGCAGCCTCGGCATTCGAGAAAATGCGTGAAATCATTAGATGTGACAACTAACATCCAGTAGACGTGAAACAATAACACTCATCACGACTTCACTTGCGGCCATTATATTCCTAATGTTCTTGCTCTCTGTTTCTCAAAGCACAACAGAGGGCACCGCGATGGATCATGCTAAATTTGTCGTTCATTTTTCTCCTGCACGTTTCTTAAAAAAATAACAACATTAATCTGCATCGTGAGATTATGTCTCAGACTTAGAGCCAGTTTATGCAGACGCTAGCGAATAAAACAACACGGTTTCATTGGTATGTCTCAACATGAGGATCTCACATACACAGCTGTTTGACACTGCAACTGTGTATTATCTTGCTGAGAGAATGGCCTTTTTATTGAACGTTGTATGTCTGTGGAATACAAATTCAGATCCTTCATTGAGCATTGTATTTCAGCTGGAATCAAATCGTGTCCTAAAATGCAATTAAATGCAGCATAATTACCTCCGGAGTATCCAAAAACCTAAATAACCTATGCTTAAAAATGTAATTTAGCAACAGTGTGAAGATAAATAGTCCATGCAGACATTTATAAAGCTGTGGGATTTGCCAACACAAATGGTAAATCCATAGGCTCCACGATGTGGACAACATGCAAGTGACCCGACAATTCAGTGATGGTAATAGTGACGTCATTTATAATTAGCATATCATCACTCATGAAACACCGTGTTGCCTCATAGTGATGGCTTTAGATTACATTTTAGGACAGTGATGTTGACTATTCTGTTACTTTATTACACGCTTTACGTGGATTATCACAAACATCGGGTAAGTTATGCGGCTGGCACTGAATTCAACATTTTCCAAAGCATATCGTATAATATTTACTATCAGCCCGAGGTATAAATGGGTAAATAATATTTCTGCAATATTTCCAGTTAAGATTGTGTTCCAAAAGAATATGACAAGGGATCTCCAATAAAATTTGATGGCAGTTGCCATATTAAAAACGTTTAATGAAATATTTTGTCACTTGGAAAAAGCCAGGCTATATGCTAGATACAGCATATTTTCATGGATTTAAATTATATAATAATCTAAAATGAAAGGAATGAAATATCTCACCAGTGAGTGGCACAAGAATCTTCCTTTTCATGTTCATTCTGTTTGCCGTTTAGAGCATTTCAGAATACCATGTGATTGACTTAATTCCACCTAAAAACAGAAAAAAAAATCTTTGAAGATTATTTTTGTAATCTAGGTTTTCCCAATGACTCTTGAATCACCCTACTGAGTGTGCTCAATTGGTATTGGATGTGAATTTACAGCTTTTCTTGGTTGATAATGTAAAAAATCCAAATATAGTAAAAAGTGCGTGTTTTGTCAATGGACAAGCGAGAGAATCGAGTAATTTCCTACGCATGTTTTCCCAAATTTGTTTCTCTTATCACATGTGGATATGCGCACCTCGACCCTGATTTTCTCCACAACTATGACGCTCTTCATCCCCTCTCTAGATCTCACCTGCGCAGCCCGCAGCACCACCCGGGCCTCGGGCCACTACGACCTAACTCTAGATGGAGGTGCCATGGTTGGTTTCTTCCGGATCCTCCGGGATGGTGGCGGACAGCGACTGGAAGGGCACAGGCGTGGCGGGCTTCATGGGGCTCTGACGGAACATCCCGCCATTGGGCGCGCGGTGCTTGAACGTCCCCACGGACATGTGCTCTCCCACGTTCCCCCCAGGCCCTCCGATGCTCCCTCCGCCGATCATCCCGACGCCACAGCCGCCGCCCAGTGGCAGGTTGATGCTCAGCTTGGAGGGCAGGGGGCGGCTGCCGGCCACGGCCACAACGGCGGGGCCCATGCCCGCCTGATCGGGCAGGAACCCGCAGGTGGAGGACGGCGGCGGCGGAGGCGGCAGCGACAGGTGGCCATGCGCGTGGACGTGCGAGTGGCCGTGGCCGTGGGCGTGCACGTGGGTGTGAGCGTGCGGGTAGTCACCGGGCTGCTCCATGGAGACGTGAGCCGACCGCATGGAGCCGGAGGGAATGTTGCGGCCACCCCCGGGGCCGCCCCCACCTCCGCCGCCGCCCATCATCTCGTGCGACTGGGGGTCGCCCGCGGGGCCCGAGGCGCTTGGAATTTGCTTGTGAGCGGCTTCGTCATCCAGGCTCAGGCTGTTGAGCCGCCGGTGAAACTGCTGCATGTCCATCTCCTTGTCATCCTTTTTAACAAAACACAGTATCCAATCAAAGGAGCGGCGCTACAGCGAGAGTTTGGTGCTCCTGATGCTGCATTTGTTTGGTTTTTGGCTCGGTTTAATACACGTGCCTTTTAAGCAACAAAATATTAAGTGTGTTTAACCCCCCCAAAAAAAAGAATTGTTCATGCCGGTCTAAATCATCCATTAATAATAGATTTTCATTAAGTGTTGAATCAAGAGCCCCAGTTAATTTGTTTTACCCTCTGGTGACATTCGTATGCACCTATTAGCCACGTCTCTAATGACAGCGTTAAAGGGCACGTCTAACGTTGCACGCTAGGGGTCTGGAAGAGAGCACGCCTCGCATACCGCTCTGCTCCTCAACCCGCATCTCTGTCCTCGTACATTGCCCAGGGCAGAACGTTTAATCCAATGTAGTTATGCTTCTGGAAATATAATCATTATACGCAAATTAATAAAATTAATTTGGCTGTTCAAATACGTGCGTTGCATAAACGTTCACCGATTATGCACGTGCAATCTGCATCCTAACTGTGGCCCATGACGTGTTATTGAAGGACAAATGCTTTGTTGCTCTAAATTACACCAAGCAGGATAAAAATAATGCACATTTAAATTCTTGGAAGCTTAAAAGAACCTTTGAGCAAAAAAAATCAACACCGTTTGATACCCACAGTGTACAACACATTTGAATGACGCTCAACACATTATTATTATTTGTTTTCAGTTACCAATTGTGAGATTGGGTGTCTGTTGCAGCGAACAGTGACAAGGTTAGTACACAGAACTACAACCTCAATGGCTTTAAGTATATATAAACATGAATGTATGTGAGAAAACATCAGTTTTTTTCGCAACCAATATCAAGAATCATAATTTATTTTTCGGTCAGGTCGCGTAGGTAAAACGTGTCGTCAAAGTGTGTATTGTCAAACCTCTTCCACCCGAAAATGTTGGCAACTGCCTGATGATGCTGGCCGTGACTACCAGAGAAGCGTCGAACCCAGTTGTGAAATGCTGTAAGATTGCTCTCCCAAACAGAGGTGGTGCTGCTTCAGCAGCAATAAATTGGCACGTTTTTTTTTCATCACGGGACAACTTCACTAAATTGCTGTCGGGTGGAGGAGGCTTTACGACACAACATTTTACTCATGCTACCTGACCCAAAAAAATGTGCCGCGAATCTTTGCCTGGTTCTTGAACACTGTCTGGCCCACACACCTGCGGGTCCGTTCACGATTGTGTGCGCACAACGCATGTGATAAAAAAAAAAGATCAGTTCTTTGCCTGGTTGTTGGGCCCGCGGTGCCTCTTGCGCCGATTCCACCAGATCTCGAGCACGGCTACGAGGCAGGCGAGCAGCAGGCCCATGGCGAGCAGGCAGAAGACTCCGGCAAAGCTGCGCAGGCCTAGGGCCCGGCTCATGTGGCCACCGTCCGGGCCGCCGCTCGGCTCTCTCGTGTGCCCCATGGGGTCGCACTTCCCTGCGCGGGGCCACCAGCGCTGGCGCATGGCCTCCAGTTCGCCGGTCTCGTGCAGCTCCAAAATGCTGCGGGATCATCACGGTCATCATCAATTCACAATCATGAACGTCGATTGTCACTATCGTCATCATCATCAGTAGTTTATTATTAGATCATGAATATCAACTTATCATCATCATCATCACTTCATCACTACCAGCAATTTATCATCATTATCACCATAAGCAATGAGTTCTTATCAGTGTATCAGCATCATCATCAATTCATCATCATCAATGATTATAACCATCACTGAAGCACACGGCCTCCAGCTCATCAGTCTCATTCAGTTCCAGAACACAAATAACACCATTGTCGTTGTTGTCGTCGATGATAATCAATAACTATTGATACATTGATAACAACTCATTGATATTGGTAACGATGATTATAATTATCGTTACCAATATCTCATCCGTGAGTATGTTGTACCAAGAACCCACGACATGCCCGTGAGCCGGCATGGCGGCAAGCTAAGCCAAACTGCGAAATTTAATTCTGCAGGTAACTCTAAATGACAAGAGTGCACCCAAAATATGCAATGGACACTTTCTGACAAATGTGATTAAGTGGAAGGAAAATTAATTTAAAGCAATGCTGAGAAAGCAAAGTATCCATCAATTTTACTAATGATGAGCGCGGCAATGTGGGTGAAAGGCGGGAACATACATGACAAATAATTTGACATTTTGCCTAAAGTATCAACGCGGTGTTACGCAACCATGCATATATGTCAAGGAAATTAAAATCATGTTTGCGCTGAAATAAAAACTGACGTCACCGAGATTATAACACCCATCGATTGTCGTGCTGAAATGTCACAAACAGCTATCAATGAAACACGGGGGCATGTTAAACTTGCCTGACAATGGGGGAGAGCTGCATAATCAGGAATTGCTTTTAAATGAGGGCACGTTAAGGAGCATGAATGAGCGTTAATATATATTCTTAGCTCTTTCGGTAAAGTCACGTTGAAGGGAAACAATAAAATAATAAAATATATAAAACAATAAAAATTATCACGACGTTTCGACCATAACACAAACGGTCGTCATCAGGTGTGTCGGTTTGCATTAATTTATTTATTTTTAAACAGAGACAATTTCAACCGAGAAGATGGATTATGGCTTAGCAATAATTGGAAAGATCTGACAAACCATTTCAGGTCTTAATTGATTGTTCACACTTACAGTGGCTTTCAGACAGCATACATTAATTTTTCGTCTCCCCCCTCCTCTTTTCAGAACATAGATGGACTAGTCCTTCTAAATAAACTGCCAAATCGCTGCGCGTGGCACTGACGTTTTTTTTATAAATAAATACACCGTTTAAAAATAAATTAATGCAAACCGACACACCTGATGACGACCGTTTGTGTTATGGTCGAAACGTCGTGAGAATTTTTATTGTTTTATATATATATTTTTTATTATTTTATTGTTTCCCTTCAACGTGACTTTACCGAAAGAGCTTAGAATATGAATTGCTGCAGTCACGAAAGCTTCAAATCAAAATCTGAGCGTTAATACGTTTTGCCCATGACTCTCGGTGCAGGCTGAGAGATAAAAACGCGGCGTCGTGTAAAGGTTGCATCGTGTGATGGGAGTGGAGCCACTCACATTTTCCTGCCAGTTTTTATGACGTCAAAGCATGGGCAAAAAGTGCGGTATGCATAAAAAGCATGCATGCCTTTGTTGGTCTATCATACTGTAAGTGTGAACGGATTACCGTAAAAGCACCAATGCGCTTATATCACCAGTCGTACGCATTTTTTTTTTACAAATATTTAATACTCTTTGGTTCTTTCGGTAAAGTCACGTAGGTAGAAATAAAACAAAATAAATCGCGACGTTTCGATAGCACCACGAGCCACCGTCTTCAGGTGAAAATCGCGATAGCCGCGATGTCTGCTGCCTTGTGAAAGAGAAGCTGCTGATTACATCTCTCAATTCTCCTCATACATCTATCAACTTCTGTCTGACACCTTGATTGTCCCATTGGCCCTGCTGAGACCCCCAGCCCGTCACCTCTCGCCCAGACGACCCACAACTCTTCCCCTGAGGACCCCTCGGAAATCTCTCACCTCCAAATTATCCACGAAGCCGCACGCAGAGATCCCCCCCCCACCCACCACCCACGTCGGTAGAGCGTATCCACGTCGCTCCGATCCCGAGTCAACGACGGCATCGCCCCCTCGACACCTTCAACATCGTCCAAGGTAGTGCCCGCCCACCGCCCCTGCCGCCGCCGCCTCGCGCGCCTCATCTCGCTCTAATCCCCATCTGCATGCTCTCTGCTCGGGTGAGCAAGGCCTTCTCTCAAAACCGTCTGTCAATCTCTGTTCAATAGGCGGGGGGCAGGGGGATGTGAGTGGGGCAGCTCTGTCGACGCGTCATGCGGCAGCTCTGAAGCCGGGAATTTGCCCTCCCGCCTCCAGCCCAGCCATCCGCTGCCCCCTCTGCAAGCCAAGGGCCACGACCTTGCTCCGTTCTCCTGCCTATGACTGTCTCTTATCTATGAAGTGTCTTCAATATAAACAAATATATCTCTCCCTGTTCCTCCGTTGGTCGCGTGCCTCGCCGTTTGTACAGTCTTGAGATTCGGCTGCAAGTTCGACGCTCTGAGCAGGCAAAACGTAAAGGTTCAGCCCTGCAAACGCTTGCTCACACCACGGTTCTGGTAGATTGTCTTGGACGGCAATTACAATGTTGTATTCTGGACTGCTATTTGTAGACAATGTATTTTGTACTTCTTTTGCAACGGACGTAGCCAACCGTGCTAATCGGAGGTACGGGGGAAGGAAAACAAACTAAACACAAAGCAGTTCCACACAAAAGAGTTTTAAATCTTGATATGAAAGTGCATATCTCCAGTGACTGATATGCAGTTAGAGAGGTTACCTTTATTACAAGTTAAGGGCCCATTGACTCTAGGAGTCGCTTTTACACAGAGATGTGGTTGAAAATATTCACAAAATAGCAACAAATTTTATAGTGTTTCTAATGTGGAAAACACCATTTGAAGCAGTTTACAGCATAATAGTGAATAGTCGGTCATAATATGTGGAGACCACTGATAATACTCACAAGTGTGGATATTAGCACCTTTTCCACCACGTCTGAACAGTGTGGAATTGGAGGCCAAAATACCGTCGAGAGCAACTCGCCGTGAAAAGGTCCGATTTGTGAACGCGTCTCCACAAAATTGCAACACGCACAGACACCGCTTCGGGTGTTGGCACACAACTGGTCAGGGGTGGGTGTGTGACGGGTGGGTGTGTGATGGCTGGGTCTGTGACGGGTGGGTGTGTGACGGGTGGGTGTGTGACGAGTGGGTGTGTGATGGGTGGGTGTGTGACGGGTGAGTGTGTGATGGGTGGGTGTGTGACGAGTGGGTGTGTAACAAGTGGGTGTGTGACGAGTGGGTGTGTGATGGGTGGGTGTGTGACGGGTGGGTGTGTGACGGGTGAGTGTGTGACGAGTGGGTGTGTGATGGGTGGGTGTGTGACGGGTGGGTGTGTGATGGGTGGGTGTGTGACGAGTGGGTGTGTGACGGGTGGGTGTGTAACAAGTGGGTGTGTGATGGGTGGGTGTGTGACGGGTGAGTGTGTGACGGGTGGGGGTGTGACGGGTGGGTGTGTAACAAGTGGGTGTGTGACGGGTGGGTGTGTGACGGGTGGGTGTGTGACGGGTGGGTGTGTGACGGGTGGGTGTGTGACGGGTGGGGGCGTGACGGGTGGGTGTGTGACGGGTGGGTGTGTGACGGGTGGGTGTGTGACGGGTGGGTGTGTGACGAGTGGGTGTGTGATGGGTGGGTGTGTGACGGGTGAGTGTGTGACGGGTGGGTGTGTGACGATTGAATGTGTGACGGGTGGGTGTGTGACGAGTGGGTGTGTGATGGGTGGGTGTGTGACGAGTGGGTGTGTGACGGGTGAGTGTGTGACGGGTGGGTGTGTGACGGGTGGGTGTGTGACGCGTGGGTGTGTGACGGGTGAGTGTGTGACGGGTGGGTGTGTGACGGGTGAGTGTGTGACGGGTGGGTGTCTGACGGGTGGGTGTCTGACGAGTGGGTGTGTGACGGGTGGGTGTGTGACGGGTGGGTGTCTGACGAGTGGGTGTTTGACGAGTGGGTGTGTGACGGGTGGGTGTGTGACGGGTGGGTGTGTGACGGGTGGGTGCGTGACGGGTGGGTGCGTGACGGGTGGGTGTGTGACGATTGAATGTGTGACGGGTGGGTGCGTGACTATTGGAAGTGCATCGTTGTGTTTTGCGTCGGACTGAGCCGTGAGTGCGGCGCCTAACCGCTGTGAGAAGACATCACGGTAGGGGCTGCCGTGTTGCAGCGCCATGCCGTAGCCCTTGGTGTACATCGTGCTGGGGAAGGTGACGATACTGCACTCTGGGTCGTTCAGCGCAGCGTACTCCAGCACTGCCGAGTCCCACAGGAAGGCGAAGCTGCCAGCCTTCACCTGCGATGGAACAACATGACGGTGGGGGATAGTAGGGGGGAGGGGGGGTAAGCCAGCGAGCCAGAGATCACGATTTATGGACGCGAATAAAAACAATAAGATAGCGGAAGGTGCGAGCCGTTCTCGTATTTAACGTGTGTCGGTGAAACGTGCCGTGGGAGTGAGCGTTTAGCGGCCGGTGCACGCCACGTGGCTCTCGATTGTCACAACGTCCAGCGCGCAAATTCGGTGGCACGCGTAAATTACGATGCCATTAACAATTATACGGAGGGCGATGCTGAGAATGGTCATCGGAAATTGACTTCTGCTCAAACGCTTCTTCGTGATTTTATGTCGGTGTTGTGTTTGTTTTGTAAACAAATAAGCGAGCGAGAGAGAGAGAGAGAGGCGTCACGAACGCAGTTGTTAAATAATGGCTCCGGCTCGTCACTCCCTGCCACCGTCTCCCGGCGTCAGGACTGGATGGCAAGCCGTCGCGAGGCCACACACGCCTTGAGACATTAGTGGAAGGCGCCTTACAAATAAATGTAAATTATTATTATATGTCTCGTGGCAGTGCCGATTTATCCACCGACATATGGCCGGACTTCACCCGCCAGGCTGAATCATTCTCACGCGCAGAGGATGGATATTAACAGACTTATGTAACCAGGGGGAGCTCTCTAATTCCGAGTAATTGCACACACAACACTGCAGCGCTGTAATAGAGTAATGTATCACATTAATGGGGTTCCACAAAAACTTAGGTGTCGTATTTTTTCCGTACATTTCTCTTCACTCTCTCATTGTCAAATCTTACCCTCATTCACCTCCATCACGAAGCCCATCTCAAACAAAATGGATTGTTTTAATTAAATTTAAGCAGTGGAGATATTGTACCTTTCATTTGAGCGGTATGGAAATATGAACACATTGACTTCTTCAGAAATACATTCGTAACTTATATTGAATTTTTAAAATTGCGACCAATACATTCTCAATGCCATCACCATCAGCCATGATCTATCCACTGGTAGGTGAATACCTGCCCAAGCCTTTTTCAAAAGGCAACTGCGGTATGTTCTCTGGTCTCCGTGTTCTTCCTTTGGTCTCCGTGTCCTATCGAGCGTGCATCTCTCCGTTTCTTCCATTGCGTAGCATCTTGTCCCACTGTATGTGTCAATGTCCCTGTTTCTGATTGATATCTTACAGCAGGATAGTGCATATTGTCTCCGTGTCCTATCGAGTGTGCATCTCTCCGTTTCTTCCATTGCGTAGCATCTTGTCCCACTGTATGTGTCAATGTCCCTGTTTCTGATTGATATCTTACAGCAGGATAGTGCATATTGTCTCCGTGTCCTATCGAGCGTGCATCTCTCCGTTTCTTCCATTGCGTAGCATCTTGTCCCACTGTATGTGTAAATGTCCCTGTTTCTGATTGATATCTTACAGCAGGATAGTGCATATTGTCTCCGTGTCCTATCGAGCGTGCATCTCTCAGTTTCTTCCATTGCGTAGCATCTTGTCCCACTGTATGTGTCAATGTCCCTGTTTCTGATTGACATCTTACAGCAGGATAGTGCATATTGTCTCCGTGTCCTATCGAGTGTGCATCTCTCCGTTTCTTCCATTGCGTAGCATCTTGTCCCACTGTATGTGTCAATGTCCCTGTTTCTGATTGATATCTTACAGCAGGATAGTGCATATTGTCTCCGTGTCCTATCGAGCGTGCATCTCTCCGTTTCTTCCATTGCGTAGCATCTTGTCCCACTGTATGTGTCAATGTCCCTGTTTCTGATTGATATCTTACAGCAGGATAGTGCATATTGTCTCTGTGTCCTATCGAGCGTGCATCTCTCCGTTTCTTCCATTGCGTAGCATCTTGTCCCACTGTATTTGTCAATGTCCCTGTGTCTGATTGATATCTTATAGCAGGTAGTACAAATCGATTAAAAGCGATCCTCTTTAGCCACCCTTGCATGTTGCTTTTGATAATCAAGTTCAGTTTTCAAAATGCACTCGACCTCTTTATCTCATCATTTTCACCCTGGGTATGCCTCCACATGCATGCATATTGAGTTTTTCAGTTGTTTCCCTTCAACATATATCTTCAATGTCCTGGAAAACTTGTAGTACCAAAACAATTTATAACGATAAAAATACAGTAATAGCAACAACAACAATAAATACCGACACAAAGGCAAATACAGTGGTACCTCGGAGATGGAACGCCCGGGAACTCGAACAATTCGGTGATCGAACAAAATTTTCCACCATTTTTTGCCCTGGACATCGAACAAAAATTCGGAGGTCGAACAACTGGGAAATGAGCCAGTTTACGCGTAGCTCTCGCCCTTTATCACTGTAAAATTGCTGCCCCCCCAATACGACTCCTCTCACCCAGCCCATGGACCAACAGGTAATTTCCAACTTTAAAAAAAACTCTACACGAAAGACCTTTTTCAAAGGTGGCAAAATGGGCTGAGTTACACAATTTTGCAGAAAAAAATATCATCCAGATAAGGCAGTAGACAGCAGAGCAGGCGATTTGTATAATGATATAGCATTGAGTAATTTCAGACACATCTTAAAACGGAGGCAGAAACAATCCTCTCTTGATCAGTTTTTAGTAAAAAGGCCCTCAAGTGAATCACAGTGCTCGAAAAAAGTCAAAGAGAAGAAAGAACCCCAGAAGGGCAGTTACCCAACGTGTTTAGGGAGGGGGACTCCCCTTCCAAGCAACACTGACACCTCCTCCTCACCACCTTCCACTCAAGCCATCCACTCTCCTTACTACAGGTAAAGGGAAGTTCAATGTTCATTTATTCTATTAATTATAACAGTGTTTCTTGTTTTTTGTATGCTTTTATGTACTGTACTGTATTTTAATATTGTAAACTTTGTGTAAAAATGGCCAATAATAGGAGCATCCTTGGACGGGGAACCAATTAATGCCATTTCCATTCATTCTTATGGGGAAAATTGATTCGGTGTTCGAACACGGTCTCGGAACGAATTAAGTTCGATCTCCGAGGTACCACTGTACATAAATGTGACATTAATACAAAGGAATAGAAATAAGAACGTGGACAATATGCTGAAATGCCCGTTTATATTGAATATTGTACGGTATAGAATTGAATGCATTTTCCAAATTAATTTGTGAAATGTCTGCTTTCTATACATGCGTCTAATATATTGCATTAAGCAAATACATTTTAGGCGTTTTATTGCATGACTATTCAAACCGCAGGTGCAATAGTGGCTCGTAAAAAAAATATATACACTTTTTAACCTTAAAACTTTCCCAAATTGTTCCAACAAAGCGTAGTGTGTACTCGTAAAAAAAAAATTGCATCGCAAATGTCAGGCACAATAAAACATCTGTTGGGGTTGAAAATGATGAAGTGGCTTCAGAGTTGTTTGATCATATATGACAGGGTAATATTTCAGAGCAAAAAACAGGTCTCAAAATCCAACATCGTATACCGAACAAACGCACTACTTTGTTGTTAATTATGAAAGGGATGATGCACCATTCTGGCCGATTTCTTCAGACTACATCAAGGAATATAACCACAATTTAGTGCTAATGTAATTTATATTAGCGAAGCTTTTATGCACCATTTAGCGTAGGAGGAGAAAAAATACATTCACGTAAAGTAGTTGTCCTGCGCTTGTGGGCAGTCCAAGCAAAATGCAAGACTCTCAGAATGTCATCAAGGCAGGTGCAAGAGAAAAATACTCCGACAAGCTGATCACGCACCTCCAGTTAGCACGGTTGGCTATGTACGGCGCGAAAGAAGTTCAACATACACATACACACATGCATACAGTGAATGTAATTTTCTCGAAAAAGACGGCGATTCAAATTGTACCCGATGTATGCATAACGCCCCGAAGGCGGGGATCTGCACGAGTTCTATATCTGCAATGCAGGTGTCCGCAGCAGCAGCAGCAGCCTGACTTTGCAAAGCCACCGTGGTCTACTGCTGCAGGCATTTTTCACCGGGGGAAAATGCACAATTGGAAAGACATCAGTGCTAGTATCGTTGGTAACCGCATGAGGACAGCCGATAATTAGATAAAGGGGCGACGTTGTAAGTGCTTGCTCAAGCCACTGTTGGCTCTGTAGAGTCCATCCAATAGGTAATTGGCCTACTTTTTCATGCTGGCACGATGTTTTTGGAAGAGGTTGGAGTAGCCGCCACGCTCTACTCCACGAAATTGCACTTGCTGATTGGCTAACTGTGGTGTACCCACTTATATTTCTGGGTGGACAGTCAGAGGGATTTAGGAAACGTGTTCATCCTTTCAATTGCATGCCCGTTGATTCAATTGAACCAGTGACCTCTGGATTGGAACTCCAGTGTGCTAACAATTATACCATGGCAGCATGCCTCTAATAACAATACTAATGCATGACCTGCCTGTAGAGCATTTTCTAAGACAAATATGATGATGTAAGATGAATAATTTGATATCTATGGAAATTATTTTGGCCTGAATAAATACCAATGTGCACGGTGGCATAAAATGTAAAAATCAGCATGTGACAGTGGTATACCCTGCAGCTGCTTAAACCGCTGTAGGTAAAGCACAATTTAATCAGACTCCGTGTATGGATTTTGTATTCTTCTTAATTCCTACGCTTGCGACAGAGAGGCTTGTGGAAAAGAAGGATCGTTTGAACCAGCAAGTCACACCACATGACGCTGCTGCCTGCTAAAAGTTCGTACTACTTTCAAAGCATGAAAGGATTCACCGTGGATATATCAAGGACATGTGTTCGGGGTTTAGGAACACATTGCCATCCAGATTTCTAAACATTAAATACATAAAGCTTTCTCGTAAATACACATCAGGCAGTTATGATAGTACATGATCGGATCAGATATTCAAAGCGCATCAAATGTCTCATCTCTTCGGTGAGCCTAAACGAGGCTTTTGCCATAAACACTGTCATCTCACCCGAGAGCTTTCAGTCTGTTCACTATTTGTGTTACTTGGCACGTGACGGA